TGAAACAGTAGCGCATGACAATGGACATTAATATTTAAAAACTAATCATTACAAAGCTGAACATGTCCATTAAAACTTTCTAAAAAAACATATCTTTTCATTTTGTTAATAAGCATACCTTTCTTTGGTAATAAAACTTTTCCAAATGCCTTTCAATATGGTTCGCAAACGTCAAAGGCACTCGCGTCTTCTCCATTACCCATAATTCACTTCCTGAAACCGTGGTATTCACGTGTACAGTTTGTTAATCTCACTTTGACGAAATGAAAAAAGCAAATAAGGAATTTTCTGATGTAAATTATATCTTTAGATTAATTAAAAAACTGGGAAAATATTTTAGATATATTTTTAATATGGCGCAGCTTTGAAAGAGCTTTGCTCACTGGAGAGTGAGAACCTATCCGCCATCTTGGTGAACGCATGCGCTGTCCTCGAGAGAAGTTGAGGACGAAGATCACGCATGCGCAGCATTAGTTTTTTCGCGGACCCCTTTTCACGCTATATGGGTCTGAATTGGGACAGTAAAGGTGAAAGATTCGAGTAACCTCGAACGTGAACAACTTATCTTGTTTTTATATTATAACGTGAATTATATCGCACAATATAACGTCTCCATCTACATATTTTATGTATTTTAAATTAATTATATTTAAATTCAAGTAAAAATAGCTGTATATTTATTTACTAATAAAATAATATATATTAATGAATGATTAATATTTTATTACTCGTTATTAGGATGCAAATTATATGCATTTTAAAATTTTTTGATCACTAACAAAATAGAAACTAAAAATATTTGTTTTATCTACTACATACTACTCTAATATTTTCTACTCTGGATATTTTATATAAGTATTTCTGTATATTGTATACAATGTGTATACATTTTTTCAATTTCCAATTTTTCATAAATACATAAAATCCGCATCGTTTCATTATTAATGTTATGACAATCACTGACTTCACACTGAGTATTTTTGTTCAAATAACTACATTTAAGCACATTATAAATAGCAGTATAGGATAGCAAGTTTGAAATGAAAACATGTAATAAAACACAAATAACTTATATTTGAAGCTTTATTTTGTTAAAAAATGCACAAAAATAATTACGCAACTAATGCGCTAGCCGTGGAACTTTCATATTTCCAGTTTGCTGGAAGAGTTCCTTTTGACTTATAATAACGTGCAAGTCTATGAATTCTAGACTCCACAAGAATTAATCTAAATTTACTATCCTTATCTTTTCGATTCCTCTCTAAGTGTTTTCTGATGGCTACTGCTTTTTTAATCAAATAATATAAATCTTCAGGTAAATCTGGTGCAAGACCCATACTTTTGACAATCCTCAGAATTTTATTTCCAGTACGGAAACGTACTTGTGCAACTCCATGGGAATCCCGAAGAATCACGCCTGAAAAATTTCATCATCTACTTGAACATATACATTAAATAAGTGAATTTAGTAAAAATGTAGCATATATTAATTTCTAAGTTTTTATAAATGCCTATAATAACATGACAAAATGCCATATCTTAAAACATACTGTGTTTACTATTGAAAACTATTCATGTGATAAATAATGATAAAACATTAAATTTTAATTAGTTTGCTTGAGAAAAATTAAATCTAAACAAATTTTGATAAACAAAACATAAAAGGAATAAAAGTGAAATTTATATAATTATATCAATATCCAAATATCATTTTTAGAATTTTCAATAAATTAACTATATCAAATGAAAAGAAATTACCGATTTGTGAAGGAGTGTGCCCTTTTTTAGCTAATTTATAAATTAATTCCTTACAGTCCTCTGGGGTTAACTTCAGCCACGTAGGGACGCTACGTCTGTAAGGTAGCGCTGATTGTGATATACCTTTTCTGCAATGTTATAAAATTTCATTACTAAAATACCTCATCCTTTAAATAACAATTACATAATGTACACGCAAAAATGATATTGAGATGAATCAAAAAAAGTATTAATTAATCGCTTCAGAAATATTAAGACGGCTGAAAAAGATAAATTGAGGTTAGATATAAAAAGAAAATAAAAATTTCGAAAAATTTGTAAAACAGATAAGCTCCTCTCGATTCCGAACTTAAAATTACTTAGAATGTGATTAACATATATTAAATTATATGAATTATTCTTAAAAAAATCGCGATTTTTAAGAAACACATGGACGCTAAAAGAACACTGTTGTGACAATTTTTCATCCAAAAACATTTATAAAATTATACTCTGATAGCAAAAAAAATTAAAAAACATGCAAAGAAAAAATTAATTTTAAATGTGTTAATAATTTTCATTAAAATTAAAATAATCTAACCCTGGTGCGTGCATGCGACCCATCTTTGCTTAGTTCTCGTTCACAAGAGACAGCAACGCTCTTTAAACCGTGTTGGCAAGTGTTTGAACTACTAAACTTAAAATTTGCCCGGGAAAATTGATTTAAAAATTACGCGAAAACAATTGAAAAATATTATATAATTGCAGAATATTTAATGCCAAACTAAAAATATATTATTTCAATCATGTTGTAATTGGTTTGAATTTAATTATCAGTTTGAATAATAATTAATGATAATATGCTAAAATACAATACAATTTAACAAATCTTTTATATTGTATAAAAATAATATACAAAAGACGAATAATTTCAAATTATAAGTAAACAACGAAAATCGCATACTCTGAAAGCTTATTTCAAAGATATATGATATACATACATAACTAATGTTACAATCAAAGTTAAGCCAAAAGTTAAATTTACTGCTTTCTGTAACTTCCGGCGGATGCTCATCAAAAAATCAATTCACGATCTAAATAAACTTGAACAATTTCAATCTTAAAAACGTTCCTATTAAATATTGCAAGCGCGAATATTTCTTTTAAAATAAAATGTAGTTTATTTGATATAAATAACTATGGAATATCTAGTTTCTGGAAAAGTTAGACAAACAGTGAGAAAATAGCGCAACGTCGCGAACGGCGTCGGCAGCCAAAATGTCGGCAGTTTCTCAACTTTAAGCGTACCCTCTGTCAACATTTGTAAATCTCCATCGAAATCAACATCGAATCAGCCAATAATTAAATCATTAATGATGTATGATCGATATTAGATCCTCTTGATACAGTGAAAAATCGGAATCGTCAGAATTTCGAAGGTAAATTGACATTTTTTAGGTTCTTCCTCGAATTGTTCGATCCTCGTCCCTTTCTTTGAATGCAATTCCATCAGAAATATTGGAAATTCATTATTAAAATTTTTCATGAGCATTCTGAAAGAAAGATCGATTAGAAAAAATTATTTGCAAATTATATCAGAGGATAAAGTAATTTATTTGAATACCTTTCGCACCAACGAAAAAAATTTAGTGATGTGTTAATGTGGTTATATACAGTGATTCACAAAGTATCTTGACGAGTTTTAGATAGACATGTAAATGAAATATTTTGAAATTTCTACCGACTATTTTATATTATTTTAATTGTAAACCAAAATAGTATATATATATACTTTCAATTTATTATACAAAATATGAGATCTCAAAGTTAAAAATACAATTTTATGCATTAAATGTGTACTTAATTGTAATAATATAAATATTTCATAATATAAATATTATGATTTTATTTAACTACATTTTATTTAATTTATTACTTTCCTAAAAAACAATAACAAATTTTAACAGAAGTACGTAAATATTCCATATCTTGTCAGTTTCTATTTTTTCTATAATTATTAGAATATTTATTCTAAATTTTATTTTTAAGTTCACATCTGTTAATAATCTTTCCATTAAACCAGATTTATGTTGATTTGACTTTAATTTTTGTTAACTTCCTTTTCTACTTCATCTTTTTCAGTTACTTTATAATATCTTATAATTTCATCGATAGACATATGATTTGATTCTAATCTAAAATATTAAATTTAATTCTCATTAAACAGACATTATTTTGATAATGCAATTGTATTTTTAACTTTATAAAAATTGAAAATATTAAAGTTTGATATTAAAATCTATTGAAAATATAAAGTAACATGACTAAGGATACAAAATAATTAATAGAAAATCACTGAAATATATCAAAAAAACATAATTATGTAAAATGTAAATTTAGATATTGCATACTGAAATAAATACTTTTTAACATGATAAATATTATTAAGCATTAATGTTTTTTAATTTAATTACATATAGGATATGTGACAAGGCAGATATGATTTTGCAAAGAAGTTAAAATGTCTAGTGACAGTAATCAAACTCCTCAATCTGGCAAGCGAAAAAAACTTGTCAAACTTGAGAGTGAAGATAGCGATGAATCTATAGTGCAATCTCGTAGAAGAAAAAAGACTTTTGTATGTAAAAGTTATACTTTATTATTATTTTTAAATGTATGAGATTTCAATTCAACTAAATTTTCTTGTTTATGTTATATTTTTAGAAATTCATTAGTGAAGGTGAAACTAGTGATGAAGATAGTGATGTTCAAAGACCTATTCGACCTGTTCGAATGCAACATCATGTAAGTTTTTAATAAAATCGAATATTTAGCATAAAATAAATCACACTTTATTATTTGGAAGATTATTATATATTTTTATTTTTATATGTATGAAATGAATTATTATATTTTGAAAATATATGGTACATTATAGAAATATTTTCATATGTACATTATACATATTTTCTTTCCAGAGAGTTATTGGAGATGAGTCAAGTTATGAAAGCAGTAGTTCAAGTAGTAGTAAATACAAGCAATTTGGTTAGTTTAAAGATATTTAGCAATTAAAATTTTAATTATTCAATTTTTTTATAGAATTAAATTTACAAATAGTAATAATCCATCAAATTTATTTTTTAGGAGATAGTAGTGAAACTTCAGAATGGCAATCAGACTGGAGCAGTTCATCAGAATTAGAAAAAAGATCTGCTGTACGAAAAGTTCTGGGCAAACCAAAAGCTAAAAAACCTCAAAAAATTGTATCAGATACAGATACAGACAATAATGATGATCAAGTAGAAAAGTGTCCAATTTGTTTACTTCCTTTTAAAAGGCAGGAATTAGGCAGTCCTGCCTCCTGTGAACATTGTTTTTGTTTAGAATGTCTAATTGAATGGAGTAAAAATATAAATACTTGTCCAGTGGATCGACAAACTTTTACACTAATTAATGTCAGAGAAAAACTTGGTGGTCAAGTATGTATTATAAAAATAAAAACCAAATCATCTACAGAATAAAAATTAATTTCTAGTTTTATGTTTTTTTTTTTTTAGATTATAAGATGTGTTCCAGTAGAAGTTGCTTCTAGTGAGGAAGAAAAATTGGATGATCTTACATTTTGTGAAGTATGTCATCAATGTAACAGAGAAGATCGTATGCTTCTTTGTGATGGTTGTGATCATGGTTATCATTTAGAATGCTTGACTCCTCCATTAGATGAAGTACCCATAGAAGAATGGTTTTGTCCAGATTGTTCCCAGAATAACCAAACTAATTCAGAAACTGTAAGCTGTTTATAATTAGATAAAATATTGTTGCTAGTAATTATATGTAATCATTGAAAGATTAAACAAAATATTATATCATTTATTCCTAGGAGACAATTATGAAATCATTAGGTGAAGTCATAAATGTTTTGGAAGAAGCTCGCAGACTTGGTGTATCTTATGGAAGAATTCGTAGTAATATACCACAAAATTATTACCCAAGAATTATACCTCGCACTAGACATACAGAACGTGTTAGAGCTACTATACGAAGGTATTTAATACACATAAAATATGTGTATTTTGAATTTCATTAATAAAAGTTGCCATTAATAAAATTTAATAAAAATTAAAATATAAAAATTTCCAAAGTCAATAAATGCAAAATTGGTATTTGCAGAAGAAATAGGCTAGATGATAATATGCAATTAACTCAACAACTGACATTTGATCCAAATCAACCTTCTACTTCATCTGGTTTGGAGTCCTTTGGAGATAAAAGTCAGAGTCGTTCTTCAAGCAATGCCTCCAGTTCTTTAGGTTCTAGAGGTCGTAATTGTTCAAACAAACATTCTGGAAAATCACGAAAATATAGAAGTAGTTCCAGCGATTCCAGTGATGAAAGCGTTTCCAGGAAGTCTCGAAGAAGGATTAATAATAAAAATAATTCCGAAAATTCTGGTAATAAATCTAGGAAGAAAAATAATAATAGACAACAATCTGGACGTAATTCACGAAAAAGTGGATCTAGAAATAGTTCAAAAAAATCTAGAAGATTTAAAAATGTTTCTAATAGAGGAACTCTGTTAAAGGAAGTTAGAATTACAGAATGCAATGAAAATGGAGAGGAGGAAGAAATCGTAACATATGTCAAAGTGGCTGCAGTTGATACTAAAAGAAGAAGAAAAACAAAAAGAAGAAAGGTATTTTAATATTGCTTTTTGAAAATCCCTAGTTGTGTGTTTGTGCACGTGTGCGTGCGTGCGTTTATAATAAAACAAATTTGTTTTTATATTTTTTTTAATAAAACACTTTCCACAAAACATTTAGTCATATTGATTGTATAATATCCAAATTATTAAAGAAACAAAGAAACAAATAAAGAAATGAGGAAATGATATTTAAAAAAATAATTTTAAAAATAAGATTATTATTTTTTTTTATAGAGAAAAAGTCATAGACGTCGCGCTAGAACAGTAGCTAGTGTTTTAGCTACTAATAAAAAAAGACTTGCAGTGTCTTTGGGTATTTGTAAGCCATGTACTCCTATTTTAGTACCTAGTGTTAGAAATCGACCAATTATACCAGAAAGATCTGCATTAAGAATTTCCCGACATAATGCTGGAATCTCAAATTTAAGTCTTCTTGGAGATCGTTTAAATTTGGATTATAGTCCTCCCGGGTAAATATATAAATTTTAAATATTTGCTAAATATAATTCTAAATATTAAAATAATATTGAATATATTAAAATTAATTAATTAAATTTTTAATGTTTTTGATTTTTAACATTTTAGATCAGATGTTGAAGATTATCATGCAACTATTGGTCCTACTATAACTGTCCAGAGGCATTCTGTAATTTCTCCTCGAAGACACTTGCGTCTAAAAAACATTGTCGCTCCACAACAACCTCAGTTTGATCTTTTAAGTAGCATAATACATGATCAGGAAATTTGGCATTCGAAAAATAATAATGTGACTTTAAAAGCTAATGGACTTGTCTTGACAGAAAAAAAAGAAAAATTAAATGACTTAAAAAAAGAAAAATTAGCAGAAAAGGGGTTATCTAAAAGCGAAAAAACAGAATCCGTTATAAAAGATAGAGTTTCTAAAGTTGATACACCGTTAGAAATTTCTAGAGCTGATGTTCCACTCGAAGTTTCTAC